CACACACACACACGCACACACACACACACACGCACACACACACACACACGCACACACACACACACATACACACACATACACACACACACCCGCATGAACACGCACATAGAGTCTCGACAAAGTGCCTGTTGTGTAACTGTTGCAGCGCAAAACGCATAAAAATAAGTAAAGTCAATGTTTTTTGTAGGACAAACGCTATGTGTTACGGCGAATCGAGTGCCAGCAAAATGGAAGGGATCGTTTAGACACCCACGCGAGCAAATGAAATGAAGACTTCAGTTACAGTGAGCTAGAAGCAGCAATCGCAAAGGGGCAACTGTTTAGAGTACCACGTATCATGCGGTCACGCAAAGAACTTTTCTAAATTCCCAATGCTTCCAAAAGGTTAGAAGCCGAAAACGCTGTCATACCCCAACTGTATCAGTTGAGTGCTTAAACCCTAATTAGAGATGCGTGATCAGAAAATGAAAAAAGTGATGAAAAAATTAAGAGACAGGCAATGGTACCTAATTTTCTTCTTTCCCTGCCTTCTCCTCTTTCGGCGCACAGTTGCTGCAGCAGAGCCGGAATGACGAAGAAAAAATGAAAACAAAAGTGACAAAAAAATTAAGAGACAGTCAATGGTACCTAATTTTCTTCTTTCCCTGCCTTCTCCTCTTTCGGCGCAGAAAAAAGCGCTACTAGTCGGTATTTGCTCTCGCCAAGTGATAGCTAGTTTTCTCATTTTTTTTTCATCGCACATTGAGTTGGGATGATTTTAGACTTTCTTCCCTCACCCTTACCAGAAAAAAGGCCACGTAGTGAGTTAGAAGACTGGACAAAGTTATCTGTTCATGTACCTCCCACTTTCAAAAAGCAATTTTACTACAGAGGCGCTAATTTATTCACAAAAAATTGGCAGCACATTATTACAAAAAGCAATAATACTTAGAAACGGAGATATACAAAATCTAGAAATGAAAAGCTTTATATTTCGAAAATTAGCAAAGTCCATAGCAGACTCACAGACAAAAAGACTGCGCTTACGTTTAAATTTTTCGCTTCTGCGCCTCAAACAGTCTCGTACATAGCATTTAGTGCAGATGCAGTCGTGGCCGAACGAAAATGGCCACAAAAATTCATCGCACTTGAAGCTTAACCTTGCAAATATAGAACTACTATGATTGCAGAAGGGGAGACAGAATTTCTAAAAAAAACATTTATACAGTTAGGAGACTCAACGCAAAATTTCAGCCAGGACTACGGAAAATGTTTAGTTAGTAAAGGTTGCTGAAAATAGTTTATAAAAATTCCGAAAATGCAAAACAGAAGTAGTCTGGGATACCCTGAACAACTGGAAAGGCTGAGCGCATCTTTGCACTGGGCCTCTGCCACAGTAAATCGGAAGGAACTGTCAGGATGTATAAACTTGACCAAACAAAGGCAAAATCAACCTGATATGTATTAAAAACGGAAGCATTTTTTCAACAAATTGTGTTACGTGTGAGCCAAAAAAGCCATCCCCAGAATATTTACGTGCTCTTTTTCTAACAAAAGCATTTTTTATTTGTTCATTTTACCCAAACGCAATATATTATGCCCTGTTTGACGAATAAAAACATATCTGTTATGACAGCTCATTGTTGCCAAAAAACCAATCAATTTTTAACAACAAAATGTGATCGCTGCGCAAGTTTTCGAATTAATTCCCAACTGTCACTAGGATCTCATTCAAAAGCATTCACTTTTCATACCAAAACGAATTACGAGCGGGATTTTCTGACGTTAAGTTGAAAATTCTAGGCCAACTTCTGGAAGATCACCAAAACTAACGGCCACTGGTGCTGACTCCTCAGCGCTATTAAGGAGTAAACACAATAAATGCCCGCTACTATGCCCCCACGATACTTGATTCCAATTCATATCTATCATATTAACTGTGTGTGCGCATAATTATATCAAAATTACTGGACCTCAAGAAAAAAGATGCTATATGCTGGCTCACAACGCATTTCTTAAGAGGATTTGCAGTTTATTTCAATGTTATGTCAAAAAATAAGTATGAATTTAACTAAAAGAAACATTAAGAGAAAAACAATTGGCACTTCAAAAAGATATGTAAAACTTAAAATATAGTCATTCGGGCTGCAGCTGCATCGTCTCTTTTATTTCAGCGTCTGCGATCGGATTCCGTTTCGCGCTTATAACTGTATTCCTGTGACTGCTCACTGCAAATAGGGACAACTTATGGAAAACGAAAAAGTAAGGAAATGTTTTGCTGCATGGCTTACCTATCTATCTACCGTACAACGTATTATACTTCCATACACAGTAAATACCTCAGTGTTCGGGACCAGATTGCGATGCTCAACAGATCTAGCAGTAGCATCTCAAAATTACTTTGCCAAGTACTTCTACCGGGAATGTTGCAAAATCGGCAGCTCCCTCAGAAAAAGAAATGAACGTTAGGATAGCCAGCAAGCTAATCAGACGTTTCAACAGTAGTCAAAGCAAATGGGAAAAGTGCCAGCTCTGGAGAATAAAGCTGTGAATTGCAGCTCAGTACTTTTATTGAATTATATGTATAAGTTGCTGGTTTGCGGAGACTGCGTCTTATGTGCTAGACACTAAACGCATACATGCAGTTCAGGAGGAAATAGCATAATTCAATCTCGCTTAGCGTGCGGGTCTATTTTTGCAGCACTGGAGTATCACACGGAGAGTTTAAATCAAAAAAAGTAGGTGATATGAGATTGATCAAATTCTTATTGTATAATCCACTGCAAACAGAAATCGATAATACAGCCAAAAAGTAATAAAGATTTTACAGGAAGAGGCAAAATTTAAACCAAGCAGCCCGAATTTAAAGAACTATTAGCTTTTGTTAATGGATTATAAACTAGGATGAACTATCAAATTTAAATATGCACTGGAAAGACTGCAGGTAAAAAAGGAAGGCCTGATCAAGCTAAAAACTGTATCGCCAAACTGCAGGAAAAATGCGTGACCAAGTAATAGACATTAAACGCACTTAAAATGAGTTGGATTTCCGTCCTTGTTCAGGCGGCGTCCGCTACTGCTCTTCACCTCACGATCGTAAGTCTCGTAGCCACCGGGAATTTGTTCATGGCGATGATCACGTTCGTACATATTACCACCACTGTTCGGCATGTTTGGTAGCGGCATCAACAACGAATCACGAAATTCGTTTTCCAGTCGAGCCATATCTTCATCGCGTCTGCACCCATAATGTAAAAAAAAGTAATTGAAAAAACGAAGCGTTTTTTCTTTTTTTTGCAACCATTATTCACTTATATCATTTGACAACAGAAGGACAAATCAAATTATCGAATGGTACTCAAGCAGTATTAAAAAAACACACAGAGGGCCGTCAACGCGGTAGAGCTATCCACTTGAATGGATCAGAAAGGCCCAAAAAAAGATGCCAATTGCATCACTGGCGTGAAGCAATATGGTAATGAAGCAACAGTTAACCAAAGTGTCAAAGTACAGAACCGCTTGACTGGTACTAATGCTAAATTGCTGTAATTATTGCAAGAAACGAACCGCCTGATGGACTGTGAAAAGCCACGTCCTTCATCCCAATCAGCATAGCTTCTGCTTTTGGAGATAGGCCTGTAGAAGTCATCTGATGGTGCTCTGGTACGGTGTGGTGGTGGCATCGGCGCATCGCGGTCGCGTGGCAGTGTTGGTGGGAACTCAATGAGGGGACCTCCACTTTGCTGGCTGCCACGACGATGAGATGATGAGCGGTAATATTCATTGTCGTAATTAACACCCGAACCCGAATCATACACATCGCCTTTAATAGTTGGATGAAATTATTTTTTCCAGCATCGTCATTAAAATAATA